ACGTATCTCCGATTTTATATCTACATTTGAGTGAGGTGGAAGGGGTGATGTGGCATTAACACAAGACAGAACAAAATGTGGTATTAATAGGGTATTAATTTCATCAACACAAGACAGAACAAGAGTATTAATAGGGTATTAATTTCATCAACACAAGACAGAACACGAAACAATGGATATTGAATAGAAGTGTTTGTAGAAAGCCTATTGGTCCATATTTCTTGATGCTTCTATATTGGAGCGGAGTCTTGAGGTGGGTAGAATATAGTTGTGCAATAATTGGCTGTTGATTGCTGGTGTTGACTTCTTGATGTGTAGTGCCTTGCAAACGTCAAGCCGCCTGCTATCGCTGTATCTATCGATGATTTCTGTGTTGTTTACTAGGATTTCTCTGGCGATGGTTTGGTTGTGGGAAGAGATTATATGTTCCTTAATGGAGCCCTGTTGCTTATGCATCGTTAAACGCCTAGAAAGAGATGTTGTTGTCTTGCCTATATACTGGGTTTTTTGGAGCTTACAGTCCCCAAGTGGGCATTTGAAGGCATAGACGACGTTAGTCTCTTTTAAAGCGTTCTGTTTTGTGTCTGGAGAGTTTCTCATGAGTAGGCTGGCCGTTTTTCTGGTTGTATAGTAAATCGTCAGTTGTATCCTCTGATTTTTGTCTGTAGGGATAACGTTTCTATTAACAATATCTTTCAGGACCCTTTCCTCCGTTTTATGACCTGTGGAAAAGAAGTTCCTGTAAAATAGTCTAATAGGGGGTATAGGTGTTGTGTTAGTTGTCTCTTCAGAGGTTGCATGGCTTTTCACTTTCCTTCTTATGATGTCTTCGACGAAACCATTGGAGAAGCCGTTATTGACTAGGACCTGCCTTACCCTACAGAGTTCTTCGTCGACTTGCTTCCATTCTGAGCTGTGGCTGAGAGCACGGTCGACATATGCGTTAACAACACTCCTCTTGTACCTGTCTGGGCAGTCGCTGTTGGCATTTAGGCACATTCCTATGTTTGTTTCCTTAGTGTAGACTGCAGTGTGGAAACCTCCGCCCTTTTCCATGACTGTTGCATCTAGAAAGGGCAGCTTCCCATCCTTTTCCATCTCGTAAGTGAAACGCAGCACGGAACTCTGCTCAAATGCCTCCTTCAGCTCCTGCAGATGTCTGACATCAGGTACCTGTGTAAAAATGTCGTCAACATACCTGCAGTATATGGCCGGTTTCAAGTTCATGTCGACTAAGACTTTTTGCTCGATGGTACCCATATAGAAGTTTGCAAACAGGACACCTAGGGGAGAACCCATGGCGACCCCATCTACTTGCTTATACATGTGCCCATCCGGGCTCAAGAAGGGTGCCTCTTTAGTACAAGCTTGGAGTAGTTTCCTCAGAATATTTTCTGGTATGTCAAGAGGAGTACAGGCTGGATCACGATACACTCTGTCGGCTATCATTCCGATTGTCTCGTCCACAGGTACGTTGGTAAACAGCGATTCTACGTCCAACGAGGCTCTTATCCCTGTGGCCCGTGTGCCCCGCAGTAAGTCAACAAATTCCTTTGGAGACTTCAGGCTGAAGGCGCAAGGAACATAAGGAGTCAGCAGGCCGTTGAGTCGCTTCGCCAGTCTGTACGTGGGTGTGGGTATCTGGCTAATGATTGGCCGAAGTGGGTTTCCAGGTTTGTGCGTCTTGACATTTCCATACGCATATCCAGGTTTATATTCCCCAATGATCTTTGGCAGGTGGAGTCCGGATTTCTTGGCGTTCACAGTTTCGATCAGTTTGTTGACCTTTGCTTTTAATTCGGCTGTAGTGTCCTTCGTTACCCTTTGGAACTTAGTTTGGTCAGAGAGTATGATGTTCATTTTCGCCAGATATTCGTCTTTTTTAAGAATGACATATATTGGCGACTTGTCACCTCTCCTGACAACTATATATATATATATATATATATATATATATATATATATATATATATATATATATATATATATATATATATATATATATATATATATATATATATATATATATATGCGGAAAATCCACAGAGAAATATGAAATGAGGTTTGTGGATTTTCCGCATAAAATGATCAGTGTTTTGTGATCGTCAATTGCATATATATATATATATATATATATATATATATATATATATATATATATATATATATATATATATATATATATATATATATATATATATATGTCGTACCTAGTAGCCAGAACGCACTTCTCAGCCTACTATGCAAGGCCCAATTTGCCTAATAAGCCAAGTTTTCATGAATTAATATATTTTCTCTAATTTTTTTCTTATGAAATAATAAAGCTACCCATTTCATAATGTATAAGGTCAGTTTTTTGTTATTGGAGTTAAAATTAACGTAGATATATGACCGAACCTAACCAACCCTACCTAACCTAACCTAACCTATCTTTATAGGTTAGGTTAAGTTAGGTAGCCGAAAAAGTTAGGTTAGGTTAGGTTAGGTAGGTTAGGTAGTCGAAAAACAATTAATTCATGAAAACTTGGCTTATTAGGCAAATTGGGCCTTGCATAGTTAGCCTAGAAGTGCATTCTGGCTACTAGGTACGACATATATATATATAACGAACCATGCACCAATATATATTGGTGTAGCAGGTATAGAAGGCAGGATATATAATGGTGTAGCAGGTATACAAGCTAGGATATATAATGGTGTATCAGGTATATAGAGCAGGATATATAATAGTGTAGCAGGTATACAAGCCAGGATATATAATAGTGTAGCAGGTATACAAGGCAGGATATATAATAGTGTAGCAGGTATACAAAGCAGGATATACAATAGTGTAGCAGGTATACAGAGCAGGATACATAATGTGTAGCAGGTATACAGGGCAGGATAACTCAGCTTATCAGCAGAGAGAGAGAGAGAGGCCCACCAGAATATATGTTATTACGCAGGAACTACTACCACAGACAGATGAGTTAAGTCAACTTTGAGAGTTGAGTTAAGTCATTTTGAGTCAACTTGAAGTCAGGTCGATGTTATGAGCTGTGTATTTGGAGTACTTCTGAGCCGGGATAGCCTCAGAAACTCTTGATGCAGTATACTGAGGGCGTGCAAATATCTACAATGTCATGATATGATTTGTTAATATTAGCTCTACTTCTATATTGTTTTATCGTACCAACTTTGTGATATATTTTGTCAATACATATCTTACCATTCCAGTGTTAATCCTCACTTGGTTTTAACAATATATCACCTTTCAGAGTGTTAGCTAAATGTTTCTAATTTTATGTTAAAATGCTAGCTAAATGTTCCTAATTTTATGCAACTTTTGGCATCAAATTAGGAATCTGAATCGAAGTTTGATTTAAACTGCTGTAAACCTGTTTATTCCAGCCAGTATTGTAATGATTTGTATAAGTTGTTAGGAATAATGTTTCTGGTTCTAATAAATGACAATGTCTACGTGCTATATTGTAATTGTATAATTAATGTACTATATTCTTAAACTTTCCTAATTATAAATGTACAACCATTTATAAATAAAATCTTTGATTTGATTTGATATCTTGCAAATCTCTCTATAACGAATATTTATGCAGTAAACCTCTTTATAACGAATATTTATTCAGTAAACTTCTTTATAACGAATATTTATTCAGTAAACCTCTTTATAACGAATATTTATGCAGTAAACCTCTTTATAATAAATATTTATGCAGTAAGCCTCGTTATAACGAATATTTATGCAGTAAACCTCTTTATAACGAATATTTATGCAGTAAACCTCTTTATAACGAATATTTATGCAGTAAACCTCTTTATAACGAATATTTATGCAGTAAACCTCTTTATAACGAACATTTATGCAGTAAACCTCTTTATAACGAATATTTATTCAGTAAACCTCTTTATAACGAATATTTATTCAGTAAACCTCTTTATAACGAATATTTATGCAGTAAACCTCTTTATAATGAATATTTATGCAGTAAGCCTCTTTATAACGAATATTTATGCAGTAAACCTCTTTATAAAGAATATTTATGCAGTAAACCTCTTTATAACGAATATTTATGCAGTAAACCTCTTTATAACGAATATTTATGCAGTAATCCTCTTTATAACGAATATTTATGCAGTAAACCTCTTTATAACGCATATCTCACATATTGTCTATGTTCTGACCTTTCTACTCGGATAAAAATCCAAATAAACCAATTTATATGCAAATTTTGAGACGCAATGACTACCTTGATACTTGGGCGCTCGTCTGTGGCAGGGAAATTATGATAATTTCTATCCACGTTTTACTGTAGAACTCGCAAGTACGGAGCAGTTTAGTGTAGGTGTGTGTACTCACATATTTGTGTCTGAAGAATCGAGCTCTAGCTCTTGGACCCAGCTTTTCTAGCCGTTGGTTGTCTAATGCAATGACTCCTGGCTTATTTCCCTATCATACCTGCTTTTAAAATTATGAATGGAGTCATAAATCTACATAACCTATTATAACATTATATAACCTATTATAACATATTATAAATAATAATGGAGTCATAACCTCTACAACCTGCTCCTTTAGGTTATTCTATTTACTCACTATCCTTACGCTAAAGGGAAAATGTCTAACATCTCTATGACACATCTGAGTGTGTCAGTGTCATAGCTTCCATCCGTGCCCTCTTGTTCTGTTGATATTCATTGTAAACAATTCCTCTGTCTCCACCCTGTCAATCCATCTAAGTATTTTATACGTCTTTATCATGTCCCTTCTGTCCCTCATTCTTTCTAACGTTGTCAGGTTTAGCTCCTTCAGTCTTCGTACCTCATCACTCGCAACTCTGGGACGAGTCTCGTTGCAAAACTTTTGCACTTTTTTTTCGAGCTTCCTTACGTGTTTTTTTTAGATGGGAGCTCCAGGATGGGGCGGCGTACTCTAAGACTGGGAGCTCCAGGATGGGGCGGCGTACTCTAAGACTGGGAGCTCCAGGATGGGGCGGCGTACTCTAAGACTGGGAGCTCCAGGATGGGGCGGCGTACTCTAAGACTGGGAGCTCCAGGATGGGGGCGGCGTACTCTAAGACTGGGAGCTCCAGGATGGGGGCGGCGTACTCTAAGACTGGGAGCTCCAGGATGGGGGCGGCGTACTCTAAGACTGGGAGCTCCAGGATGGGGGCGGCGTACTCTAAGACTGGGAGCTCCAGGATGGGGGCGGCGTACTCTAAGACTGGGAGCTCCAGGATGGGGGCGGCGTACTCTAAGACTGGCCTCACATAGGCGGTATATAGTGATATAAAAACCTCTTTATTCAAGTTTCTGAAGGATGTTCTGACTTTTGCCAGAGTAGAGTATGCCGCTGACGTTATTCTGTTTATATGAGCCTCTGGAGTTAGGTTCGGTGTAATGTCCACTCCCAGATCCTTTTCTCTAGTCGTTATAGGGAGGGTGTTTCTTTCATCGGCCTTTCGGTCTCCTGGCCCCAGATGCCATTTCCATTACCTTGCACTTGCTGGTGTTGAACTCTAGTAACCATGACCAGCTCTACAATTAAAACATCAGCAAAATGTGTGTTTGTGTGTACTCACCTAGTTGTGCTTGCTGGGGTTGAGCTCTGGCTCTTTGGTCCCGCCTCCCAACTGTCAATCAACTGGTGTACAGGTTCCTGAGCCTACTGGGCTCTATCATATCTACATTTGAAACTGTGTGTGTGTGTGTGTGTGTGTGTGTGTGTGTGTGTGTGTGTGTGTGTGTGTGTGTGTGTGTGTGCGTGCGTGCGTGCGTGCGTGCGTGTGTGCGTGCGTGCGTGCGTGCGTGCTTGCTTGCTTGCTTGCTTTGCTAAGATGTACTCACCTACATGTGCTCATATTGTTAAGCCTTTCCCAGGGAAGTATAGACCTAATACCACCATGGCTACTGAAGGACTCTACAGAGCTGCTTCATCACCCGCTACCTCAGGTTTCTAATGCAACACTCCCACACTAATACAACACTCCCACACTAATACAACACTCCCACACTAATACAACACTCCCACACTAATACAACACTCGCACACTAATACAACACTCCCACACTAATACAACACTCCCACACTAATACAACACTCCCACGCTAATACAACACTCCCACACTAATACAACACTCCCACACTAATACATCACTCCCACACTAATACAACACTCCCACACTAATACAACACTCCCACACTAATACATCACTCCCACACTAATAACACTCCCACACTAATACAACACAACACTCCCACACTAATACAACACTCCCACACTAATACAACACTCCCACACTAATACAACACTCCCACCTAATACAACACTCCCACACTAATACAACACTATACAACACTCCCACACTAATACAACACTCCCACACTAATACACACTCCCACACTAATACAACACTCCCACACTAATACAACACTCTCCACACTAATACAACACTCCCACACTAATACAACACTCCCACACTAATACAACACTCCCACACTAATACAACACTCCCACACTAATACAACACTCCCACACTAATACAACACTCCCACACTAATACAACACTCCCACACTAATACAACACTCCCACACTAATACAACACTCCCACACTAATACAACACTCCCACACTAATACCACACTAATACAACACTCCCACACTAATACAACACTCCCACACTAATACAACACTCCCACACTAATACACACTCCCACACTAATACAACACTCCCACACTAATACAACACTCCCACACTAATACAACACTCCCACACTAATACAACACTCCCACACTAATACAACACTCCCACACTAATACAACACTCCCACACTAATACAACACTCCCACAACACTCCCACACTAATACAACACTCCCACACTAATACAACACTCCCACACTAATACAACACTCCCACAACACTCCCACACTAATACAACACTCCCACACTAATACAACACTCCCACAACACTCCCACACTAATACAACACTCCCACACTAATACAACACTCCCACACTAATACAACACTCCCACACTAATACAACACTCCCACACTAATACAACACTCCCACACTAATACAACACTCCCACACTAATACAACACTCCCACACTAATACACACTCCCACTCTAATACACACTCCCACACTAATACAACACTCCCACACTAATACACACTCCCACACTAATACAACACTCCCACACTAATACAACACTCCCACACTAATACAACACTCCCACACTAATACAACACTCCCACACTAATACAACACTCCCACACTAATAATCCCACACAACACTCTCCCACTAATACAACACTCCCACACTAATACAACACTCCCACACTAATACAACACTCCCACACTAATACAAATACAACACTCCCACACTAATACAACACTCCCACACTAATACAACACTCCCACACTAATACAACACTCCCACACTAATACAACACTCCCACACTACAACACTACAACACTCCCACACTAATACAACACTCCCACACTAATACAACACTCCCCACACTACACTACAACACTCCCACACTACACTCCCACAACACTCCCACACTAATACACACTCCCACACACTACACTCCCCCACAACACTCCCACACTAATACAACACTCCCACACTAATACAACACTCCCACTACAACACTACCACACTAATACAACACTCCCACACTAATACAACACTCCCACACTAATACAACACTCCCACACTAATACAACACTCCCACACTAATACAACACTCCCACACTAATACAACACTCCCACACTAACACAACACTCCCACACTAATACAACACTCCCACACTAATACAACACTCCCACACTAATACAACACTCCCACACTAATACAACACTCCCACACTAACACAACACTCCCACACTAATACAACACTCCCACACTAATACAACACTCCCACACTAATACAACACTCCCACACTAACACAAACTACAACACTCCCACACGAATACAACACTCCCACACTAATACAACACTCCCACACTAATACAACACTCCCACACTAATACAACACTCCCACACTAATACAACACTCCCACACTAATACAACACTCCCACACTAATACATCACTCCCACACTAATAAAATAAGAATTGTCCCAGAATTGTGGAAAAGGGAACCGGTGTCCCAATATTCAAGAAAGGAGACGGACAGTAGACACTAAATTACAGACCACTGTCACTGACAAGTGTTCCTTGTATAGTGTTATCTTGAGGTTATCTTGAGATGATTTCGGGGCTTTTTTAGTGTCCCCGCGGCCCGGTCCTCGACCAGGCCTCCACCCCCAGGAAGCAGCCCGTGACTGCTGACTAACACCCAGGTACCTATTTTACTGCTAGGTAACAGGAGCATAGGGTGAAGGAAACTCTGCCCATTGTTTCTCGCCGGCGCCTGGGATCGAACCCAGGACCACAGGATCACAAGTCCAGCGTGCTGTCCGCTCGGCCGACCGGCTCCCCAAGAAAGAGAAGTTGTTGGAAAGAGAAGCCACGTTGTGGACAGTCGAACACTGTGAAAGGTCAAACTTCATAACAAAACGACACCATTGATTTAGAAGGGGAAGTCATGCCTGACGAACCCGATCGAGTTCTATGATAAGGTTATCGGTGAGCGACAGGAAAGGGAGACGGGGTAGATTGCAATTTCCTCGGCTGTCTAAAAGCAATTTGATGTTCCTCATGCAAGACGGTGTGCCAGATGGTGTTCAAGACACTAAACTAGGTAAGAGAGTATCTGAAGGACTGAAGACAATGAGTCACAGTCAGAGATGTCCAGCTGGAGGAATATAAGAAATGAGGTCCCCCCCCCCCACCACCGGTCGGGAGCCGGTCGGCCGAGCGGACAGCACACTGGACTTGTGATCCTGTGGTCCCGGGTTCGATCCCGGGCGCCGGCGAGAAACAATGGGCAGAGTTTCTTTCACCCCATACCCCTGTTACCTAGCAGTAAAATAGGTACCTGGGTGTTAGTCAGCTGTCACGGGCAGCTTCCTGGGGTGGAGGCCTGGTCGAGGACCGGGCCACGGGGACACTAAAGCCCCGAAATCATCTCAAGATAACCTCAAGAAGAAGATAACCCCCCCGAGGATCGGCTCCGGGATCACTACTGTTTTTAACGTATGTTAATGATCTTCCCGAGGGAGTCAGCTCGTACATGTAAATGTTTGCAAACGATGCAAAGGTAATGAGGAATGTAAAAACAGAGGAAGACTGCAGAATGTTAGAGGAAGACAACCTGGTCCTGATCAACCAGGCTGTGACTCGTACGTCAGGCTGCGAGCAGCCGCGTCCAACAGCCTGGTTGATCAGTCCGGCAACCAGGAGGCCTGGTCGACGACCGGGCCGCGGGGACGCTAAGCCCCGGAAGCACCTCAAGGTAACCTCAAGGTAAGACCTTGACAAACTCCAGAAGTGGGCTAACAAATGGATGCTGGCGTTTATTCTCAACAAATGTGAGGTAATGAAGATGGGAAGGGAGAAAGTAGACGAGAAGGTGTCTACACCATAAATGAAAGGCAACTACAGGAATCAGAGAGAGAAAGAGACTTGGGAGTGAATGTAATACAATGACAACACCAGAGGCACACACAGGTAGAGTGTCATCAGCAGCATATGGGACGCTGGTGAACATTAGAACGTCGTTGAAAACCCTAAATCAAGACGCTTTCAAGCCAATATACGAAGCTTTTGTTAGACCAATACTGGACTATGCAGCTCCGGCCTGGAATCCACACCTTGTGAAGCATAAAACTAAACTGAAAAAAAGGCAGATGTTTGCAAACTAGATTAGTGCCAGAGCTAAATGGGGTTAAGCTATGAGGATAGACTGAAGGAACTGGACCTCACAACTCTGAAGGACAGAAAAAATAGAGGAGATATGATTACAACATACAAGATTCTGAGGGGGAATACACAAGGTGGACAAGAGTAGACTCTTTAAACTGATAGAAAGTAGGACAAAAGGACATAATTGGAAGCTGGAAACGCAAACGAGCTGAAGAAATGTAAATGTAATGTTGTATCCCACACAGTAGTTATCTTGAGTTGATTATCTTGAGTTGATTTTGGGGCTTTAGTGTCCCCGCGGCCCGGTCCTTGACCAGGCCTCCACCCCCAGGAAGCAGCCCGTGACAGCTGACTAACACCCAGGTACCTATTTACTGCTAGGTAACAGGGGCATTCAGGGTGAAAGAAACTTTGCCCATTTGTTTCTGCCTCGTGCGGGAATCGAACCCGCGCCACAGAATTACGAGTCCTGCGCGCTATCCACCAGGCTACGAGGCCCCCTAGTCAAGAAGAGAAATACAGTGAGAGAAATTGTGGAAACCACCGCCATCCACAACTTTAAGAACAGGTTCAACAAACATTTTATGCGTCAGAATAGTTGAGCCATGACGCAACAGGTACAACAGGGCTGGTAGACGGGGCATAGAGAGCTAGAGCTCACTTCCCCGTAGTCATTGACAGACAAGCACTGACAGGCAAGCACTGAC